ACACTCACTATACACTAACTAATATAACCAACGCATGACAACATCAACAGAAGCAGTGCGAGGGATAAGAACACAGGTACACTCACTATACACTAACTAGCTGTGCGATCCCCTTAAACGGACACGTACTAGCGCATTTAGTGGAGGTAGGTCTAACGGGAACGTAATGGCGCATTTAGTGAAGGTAGGTCGACTCATCACGCACAAGGCTATGGGCGATACGGATAAGGCGCCCATATACGTTGAGTGTACGTATACGGATACACAGATTTGGAAATATAGGCGGGCGTTCATGCGCAGGTCAACACGTGTGTGTATACTACATACGTACGTACGTGTCAGCGGAAGTAAGATCACGACCACATGTATCATATCCTGTCTATAGAAACATCTGCCTTCTACTATGACAACGCAGCATCACACCCTTACCTACAGCATGTGTGTCTATGTGTCTGGTAATACTACGAAGTGTATGTGTGTCTATGTTTCTAGTAATACTATGAAGTGTATGTGTGTCTAAGTGGTGTCTATGTGTCTGGCATTACTATGAAGTGTCTGTGTGTTTATGTGTCTGGTAATACTATGAATTGTATGCGTGACTATACTTCTCGAGATACTATGAAGTGTATGTGTGTTTATGTGTCTGATGATATTATGAAGTGTATGTGTGACTATACTTCTATGAAGTGTGTGTGTGTTTATGTGTCTGGTGATACTATGAAGTGTATGTGTGACTATACTTCTCGTGTTACTATGGAGGGTATGTGTACTTACCTTGTTGGCGATGGGTAGGGCCCGTAGCCCTAAAGTCCCAAAAAACAGGGCCGAGACTCCGCCTACAGACGCTCGACCCAGAAAGCCTGTACATACGTCACAACGCACAGATCAGTTGATAAACTAGGTGAATAACAAAGGAACATACATACTCATACATCATACAACAATTGTATGAGGAAATAAACACATACATACATCCTACGTTGAATGTATGAGTGAATAAAAGAGGTACATACACATAAATTAAAACTTACGTTCAATGTCTGAGTGAATAAAAGACATACATACACATACATACATTATACATCGAATGTCTGAGTGAATAGAGTCTCTGATTGGACCCTGCAGACTCAGGCATAGATCGGCCAATAAATTATGTCGTATGTAAAGGATAACCAATGAATTACATCTAACATATAGAATACACAAATGGGACAATCACACAGTCAGGCGTATAACAGTGCATGCGTAGATAGTCATTTGCACCAATGCTGTGCCTATGTGTGAAGGAAGACATCGCAAACTACAATACAAACCAGAAGAATTCTAATATATACGCTA